TAGTTTGTATTCTCTAAGCACACACCAGCTGAATGGCAGAGGAAAACAGCTGTGATAGCTAATAATGAAGAAAAGTTAAAGAACTAAAGATTGTTATAGATAATCCTTGAATAGATAATCTACACATGGGAAATGTCAGGTTGACTGTTATGTCTCTAGCAATGACCTCTGCTTGTTATTCTAGAGTTCCAAAGAGCAAAGATTTCATTTCTCTGAAATCAGACAATCTCTAGCTCAGTGGAAGTAGATGCTTCCCCCATCCTGCCAGGCCAAGGCAGACTAGGAACAGAGATTCAAACCTACCAAGACTGGGAAACGGGAGAGCAGGCGGATAAAGAGTGGCTCAAGGCTTCAAGCCTAGTTATTTTTCAAAAAGGTAGAGCCACCTCTGCGGTAGAAAACATGGCACCTCAGGACTGCTTATTGAATGGAAAACATCAGAAAAAGAGACATGGAGAATCCAAACGCCTCTCGTGTCTCACCCACTCACCTGGTGTCTCTTGATAATGTCCTTTAATTTCCCTAGCAGTTTGGGTTCAATTTCTGGGCAAAGAAAAATGTTTGGTCGCGACAGGCAATTATTCTGTGGGGAGAAGAAACAGAGGGAATGAGATTATGGGGGAGGGGTGTTTTGGATTCCTACTGAGGGAAGGAAGATGGGTGGGAGGTTCATGACTGTTACCTGCACCAAGGACTTCTCAATGGTCATGAACATTTCTACATTGCGGTCCATGCGTGATGGATTCTGGAAGTCGTAACGCCGCCTTGTGAAGAGGTGATAATCTAGTGAGTGGTATAGCTCAGGTCTGGGAATGAGGGTAGGGTATGTGACTTTTTAACATGGGAAGTTAGGAGGCAATCCTGCTCACGGTAAGTGCCAAATATCACCAGGGTTTACTGATATCAACTCACTTTGTACTCAGTCCAAAAGGACAAAGAAAAGTTTGAGATGCTAACCTAAGAATCCCTTTTCCTCTACAATACACACACTGATACACACACACACACACACACTCACTTTGGACTCTTATTTTGGCTGTGACTCAGCCATTTTTCTGACCTAGCAAGCCAGGCCTATTGACTAAGCAAAGTAAGAGACTCCTAAGAACGTCTACCTATGCTCTCCCACCCCAGAACGACCCCAAGGAATCAAACGGGGAAATTCCCTCTAAACTAAATGTAAGAAGCATAGAGAGAGGGCATCTCACCATCCCTGGTCACTCTTGAATTTGTAGGCAGCTGCAAGTATGTGGCACAGGGAGCCTCCTGCTTTGAAGTCTAGGAAACATTTGATCTACAAAATTGGGACAGGGAAGAATTATATGAGAGTTACATCCTAAATTCTCTTATTACTTAACAGTCCTTTCACAAACCCCGTGCCATTGTATCATGTGGCCTGGAAGAGGGGGAAGAAAGAAACCAAGGTTCACAAAGCCCCACCTTGTGCCAAGCACTTACTGGGTTACCTCACTGACCATTACAGAAACCCGACAAGGTAGGTATACTAAGCCCATCTAAAGATGAAGAAACCAAGACCCAAAAGGTTTAAACGGCTTGCCCAAGATCAAAGAGACACCAACAGGCAGAGCCAGAATTTGAACACAAGCCTGTGCAAATCCAAATCTCATACCCTTTTAACCATAACACAATAGTTTCATGCACTGACCTGATACTCTGAGATAATCTGTTGTACAAAGTATTACTAAGACAAACGGAGTGGTAAATTGGGGACTAGACCAAAGCAGTAATGCCCTGTGACCAAGGACACAGATGCTAAAAAAATTTACCCAAATATAAAAAATTAAGACATTTACAAAAACCCAAAAAACTCCCTCTCCAGTCTGGAGGATTCCCCCTTTGCTTTTGCACTCACCGGCAGCTTAGTTAGCGGTGCGTTGCTCACATGTTTGCCAAAAACTTCTTCCTGAAATTGTAGCAACTGTACAACCAGGCTAGACAGAGACTTGTTGGTGGGTGGTTCAGCTTGTATATACTGGGGAAAGAGGGAAAGAAAAGAAAAATAGACCCCAGATAAACTGTCCACCATTTCTCTTCTTTCTTTCCCAGGAGCTCTGGAAGCATCTGGGGCAGAGAAAATTGTGTCTTCAACCCCACATGTCAAGATTCTATAAAGAAAATGGTAGAAGGGAGGCCCTCTACGCCCCTCACTAGGAAGTTACAGTTCTGCTCCCCCCAGCCCATGCTGCCAGTGTTGGGTGGCGGGGACCAGGGGGGGTCTTAGCTACACCCTGAAATTGGAGTTTCAGGACCCTATTCTCTAGCCAACAGCACTGAGGGTTGTAAAATCCTGAAGGTTCACTGACAGGCAATGGAAGCAATACCTCTCAGGCTCTAAGCAAGGCAATAGTGTATTTTTTTGGGTAACATTGTGGAAGGCCAAGATTCCCCCTATAATGTGGCCTAATAAGAAAGATACATGATGGGGCCGACCGAGTGGCACATTGGTTAAGAGCTGGCTTGGGAGCACCAGCTCTGAGCAGCAGGGTCCAGGTTCGGATCCCACATGAGGGCCAGTGATGCTGTGCCCTCTACAGCTGAGATGGTGAACAACAAACAGCTCAACCTGGAGCTGGGCAGCCATGAGTTGCCGGAGTCGGCGTAGGCTGCAGTAGAGCTGGCCGGCAGCTGGCATGAGCTTTCGTGAGCTGCCATGAGTGACCGTCCGGTGGCCAGTGAGCAACTGCCTTACCCGGGAAAAGTGCAATGATAATACCAACATGGGGCAGTGAAGCGACATCCTCCACAACTAGACTGAAGAACAAAAGGACAGCAACTTGTCTGTTCCCCAATTCCCCAATAAAATCTTAAAAAAAAAAAAGACAAAAGACAAAAAAAAGAAAGATGCATGGCAACGAGGCAGGGCAAACAGACTGAGAGAGTGAGCTTGGGCAAACAGAAAGTGAGCATGTGCATTCCGCTTCTGCTAGGAACAGGGCACAAGTGTCTTCGCAAGCCCTCCTAAATGGGAAGGACCAGCTACTACTCAGCCTGGTGGGAAAGAGCAAGACAACACCTGTCTTTTCTGAGGAAACCTTATCTGAAACAAGTAACTCTGGGCCTTCTCAAACATTTCCATATTATGCTACCTAGCATCCTAGCCTTCTAATTTAAAACTGAGCTAGGAGGCTAACTTTCTCTTTACCTTTTGACCCCTGTGTCCTCAACCCTAATCACAGAGAAGAGTGCTCCTCTCAGTGAGAGGTGTAAAGAGATCCTTGAAGGAAAATGTAAATGACAAAGAGCTCAGAGCTTGAAAGCTGAACCAGGTCTCGGGCTGTCACTCCCCTCAGGGCCAGAGACTAAGACCCTAGGCTGATCTCCCTTCCAAAAGGTCAAAGGTAGAAGCCTGGGAACCAGAGCCTCACACTGGGATGCAGACAAGCCACAGACCCAGCAGCTGTCTGTCAGGAGCCTGACACCCAGAGAGACCTCTGAGAGCAGGGCCAGGCTCATAACTAGGATCAGAGGGGCGTTCTCTTAAACCACTCATCACACTTCTGACAGGCTGCAAAGCTGGGGAGGAAGAACTGGGGAGTTGAAGGAAAGCCAGGCAGAGAATCCCTCTCAGGGTAGTGAGAAGGAAGTGAGGCAGACCATCTCCAGAGAAAAACCATATGTTTAGATATTCCTTTCAACAAGGCCTTATGACAAAGACAACACCAGGAAAAGGTTCAGTAAAAAAAAAGATAGTTAAGGCTTCTTGAACCCTTTGTTCACTACCTTAATATCTCCAGTTATGGTGTTGGGGGCTAGAGATACAAAGAGTGTCCTAGCCTCTGAACCCCAAACCAAGGCAATTCAAGGCCAGGTGGGGGAAGACTTCATTGTGAAACTGAGGAATGGTTTAATAAGAGGTCGCTGCCAAGGAACTCCTATACCCTGGCTCCCAAAGAGGATTTGTTGTAGCTTGGCTGGTGGTGGGGACGAGAGGTAGAGACAGGTGATCTCAGGTTGGGGGCCTTTTTCAGGCTGATGGAGCAGCCAAGGGCCTGCTCTGTGGCTGTTTACCCGCCTGCGTTCATCATCTCTCTCTGAACGTACACAAAGCACCAGGGAGGCCTCAGCCCGGCTGGTACCTGGCTCCGTGGGGGGCTCTGGCGGGCACCGTGGCGGGCACGCTGACTGGGGACGGGGGGAGGGGGATCGACACCAGGTCCACCCCTGACCGTCTCTCCCGGAAAAGCCCGGAAGGCGATAGCTTAGGGAAGGGTGGGCTGCTGGCACGGAGACCCGCTGGGGCAGTGGAGAAAAACAAGGGGCAGAGGGCGCAGCAGTGGGGGCGGGGGCTGGAATCCGAGGCCGGAGGGGGGCCGGTAAGAGGCCGGAGGAGGGGCGCAGACCGGAGGGCGCGCTGGGGGCTGCTCCCGAGGCCGCGGAGGAGGGGCCGCGGGCTGCGGACCGCCAGAAGGTGGGCAGGGTCCCGGGTCGCTGTGGGGCCGCGGTCCCTTTGTCCCGCCCCCGGTCTCCGCGCGGCCTGCCCGCGTACCTTCTTGTAGTTCTTGCCGAGCCAGAGCCGCACGTTGTCGAACTGGGTCACGGTGTCCGCGGCCTCGTAGTACTTCACGTTGGGGCCGCCGTCCTTCTTCCGCACCGCCATCTTCTCGGGCTCGGGCCCCGCCGCCGCCGCCCGCCCCGCTCAGCTCAGCTCCCGCCTCCTCC